TTGTTTTGCTTTTCTCGTTAATCGACACACAATATGAATCAACTTTTGTTTGATTCAAATCATTGCATTGAATTCATTTGTTTCATAATCTTTACGTTCATTTCGCTGTCATTTGCGGTAAGTTTTTAATGTTTAAAATGCTAAACATTTTTTTCACAATAAATTTCTATTAATATTATTGCGGAATATATAATATCAATAAATTATATAACTAGCCGGAAAATCCATGTAATATTTATTATTTTATAAATTCCCCTAAATTGATGTATTTAATAAATACTTGATAAACTCACTTATAAATAATTGAAGTTTAATAAAAATTTCCAGATATCCTATAAGCTATTAGAGAAAATAATACAATAAAATTATTTTTATATCAAAAAATAAAGTCAAATTACTTTTAAAATGATTTCCCACTACACATTTACAATCGCTTTAATGCAAAAAGAATTCATATTTATGATGACTTTGCGTATGCATTGTATATAGAAAATAAAGTTAATAATAATAAAAAGCCAAAAATAAAAGTTTATGGCACTAAGTGTTTTATTAATATTATTAATTCCCTGACAATCATCTCATAAAACTCATTGTATAGTTAGACTTGCTGCAAAAAATATATTGAGCTATTATTATATAATGTACTCAATTCTGCACTAAGATCGCAAATAAGAGGCATAAAAAGGTATTAGCAAAAACCTTTATTAAAATTCAAGTTAATATTAAATCAGTAATTGCAAAAAAAATCGTGATTTATTGGCTAATATAAAGCCTAAGAATAACACATAAACCGAAATACAAAAAACAACTTTTTTCGGTTACTCTAGAAATTAAGCAAAAAATACTTTTCGATATAATACTAATTATTTTATTAGTTGTGGAGTGAGAAGCGAAAAATAACAGTCAACTCTCAAAATAAAACTGTTTATTGAAAAAAACAAGTTTTTCATTTGCATTCAAAACACTACACACAATATAATTGTATAATAGATTAAAAGTATAAAAGTTAATAAATGCCTGAAAGCGTTATTCNGTCAACTCTCAAAATAAAACTGTTTATTGAAAAAAACAAGTTTTTCATTTGCATTCAAAACACTACACACAATATAATTGTATAATAGATTAAAAGTATAAAAGTTAATAAATGCCTGAAAGCGTTATTCTCTATAATAAATGGGTTACTAAAAAGAAAAAATAAATCTTAAGAGCAAAACATTTTCGCATATTTTTCTCTCTCGGTTTGCCTTTCATTTCGATTCACGAGTCAATCGCTTAAACAAAATAATTCGCTTTCGAAAGTAAATTTGAAAATTATTTTATTGTTTTAAATGCAGTCATGATATGATGATAGGGATAGGGAGAGGGAGAGGGAGAGGGAGAGGGAGAGAGAGAGAGAGAGAGAGAGCATACAATTTTACAATTTGTATAATTTTGATCTCAATATACATTATATTTTAATTTATGAATTGAAAGGAAAAGTTTTACAAATAGTTTTATAAGAGAGCAGTCGAACCCTTGATTATTATATTATTATTCAAATTATTTTCTCATTTCATAAATTTAGACAAAATCCTCATTTGAGAACAATTTGTTCCCATTTTTTCGATACCTTTATTCATACATAGAAAGCATTTTGTGTATTATATTTCTTTACAATTATTTGCGATATTTATTATAAAAATATTTGTGTTTTCATTTTTAAAACACAAAATTCTTTGTTAAATAAGGAATTTGTGTTTTTCATAAAACAATACTATCCGTATTAGATCAGAGCACCTGTATGCGAGTTTGTATGTTCTACTGAACGCGGGACAGGTAGTACAGCAGGTATATTGTATGGCATACCAGTATAAAGTAATACAAACATTAGGCTGCAAACCATAATACAATGGCTTGAATTGAGTAAATAAACTGTTTATTTCTTTATAGGACTCACCCTTTAATAGTGAACCCATTCAACGAATTATCAAATTATATCATAACATAGTTTAACATAAAATTCTTCCGAAAACAATGACTTAAATGTCTCACAAACTTATAATTTAAATCACATTTTAATGTATGAAAGGCTAAGACAACAGCAAAACACTCATGTTTTTAATCACAATTCATGTCTCTCTCTCTCTCTCTCTCTCTCTCTTTGAACCACTCTTTTGTGTCCCAAAAATGTCTTTTTAGTCATATTTTTATTGTTTTCGCTGTTATCTAAAGTAGAGTTTAAATTATTTTTTAATTTTTAATATCAGAGAAAATTGTTTGCAAATGTAAAATGAAAATGAAAATTAGATTTTTATTTCTTATGAGCTTTTATTATGAACTTTAATGAACTTTGTTTGCATAATCAACAAAAACAATTTGTTAAACGCTTTTTGCATTTAATTAAATAATAAATCAAAATGAAAATTATAAAAAACACTTTTTATAATATTCAATGAACTATTTTTAAAATCATAATTTATACTTTTTATTAATCTCGGATTATAAACTACCTGAGCGATCTAATTATTAATATCGGAGTTTTATTGCAACACTTACCACTTTGTCTAGACTTGGATCAGTTTCACTAAATGTCTTAAACAATAGGTTATCTCTGAGTGTATGTCGAGGAATATCTAAATACCTATTAACACTTAATCAAATAAAACTTTATTTGTTTTTTAGACTAACTTATAAAGTTAAGTAAATAATGAGTCGAATGTACTGTTAATATAATATACTTGAGCGGAAAGGCATGTATAGTACAGTATATTACGATTACTAAATATTGACATAATTAAGTTGATAGTGCAAATGGGCACAGGGAGATGACTATAGCAATCTAAACAAGGCAATATTATGTCTTAATGAGTGCCAAATTATATTCACTGATTGACATATTATAGCATCAATTAAACCTAATTAAAAAGTCTATAATTAAATAAATAAAGTAATCAAGAAATCGAGTCATTTATATAACTTATAAATAAATAAAAATTATAAGCGTATGAATAAATTTGATTATAAATAGTCGACACAAATGAACATTAAATTGAATGCGAGAGAAAAAGATTTCTATTTATTTGATATGAGATGTGAATGGGAACCGAGTTTTTTGGGCTTAATGTTCACAACACAACACACAATACGATAGGAAAGAAATACTTCATATTTAATAACAGACTAAACCATTACTTAATGCATTGAAAGCATTAGGAATCAGCAAATGATTGCCCATTCAATCATAAAATTCATACAAAATTAATGGCAAAACGAATTGTATATTCAATACAATATAATTAAAGCCATAATTCATTTCTGTTCATAATTAATAAATGCTATTTAATGTATTGTTCATTGTTTTTGTTTATAATTCAGTATCAAATGAGTTGAACAATTGAACGAACCATACGGTGCTATTGTATTCATACTGATAGTCAACCACCCGGTGCTGGGCTAAGGTTCTGTACGTGAAATGGTTGAGCTCTAAATATGTCCTCAAATTCACTGCCAATTAATTAATTATTATATGATTTATAATATAATTCAAGGACTTTTTAAATAATAGCTAAGAAACTAATTACGAAACTTTATATTCAATTTGCAAGTCTCTCTCTCTCTCTCTCTCTCTATTGTTAACTCTTTGGTAAACCAAAGATTAATAAAATTTAATTACATATAATATATGCATAAATAATATTTTTGTATCACTTTTACTGCAAATGAATGACAAGTATTTTACTGTTAACACAGATTTTTAAAACCCTAGAAAACAGTTTAATAAATCATATAATTTTAAATTATAGTCATTTTAATTGAAATGTTTATGCAATTGAATCACTTTTATAACCGAAATAAAAATATTTTGTTTTGATTTCTACGAATCGATGCCAAAAAGCACTTTCAATGATTGCTATTTGTCTTGACATTAATTTTGAATGAAAAGCTTATAGAGAAATGATTTCTAGAGATTTATTTCCATGTTTTCGACTTCGAGGAATATAACAGTAAAAATAATATTTATTTTATCGTAATAAAAATTCGTGTAATGTTTGTGAAATCATTTCATTTAACATTTTGTTTCGTTGAAATTCCTGCCAAAAAAGTAAAACAAATACTAATTCATACGATAAGCAAATAAAACATTCAAAACATAAGAAGGAAATGATAGCAAATGAAATGAAAACCCTTTCTCTTAATATTTCTTATCGATAAAAACGATTATTAAATCTAAAGTTTAAATTTCTTTCGCGTTTTTATACTGTTTTCTCAACAAAAAGCAAATCTTTGAATACATTTTATATTCAATTTAATGCCACTATTAAGCGCTTAATGTATTATAAAACCCGAAATTTATTATTCAAACCCTAATTGAATCACAAATTTAATGAGTTTTTATAAATTACAGAATAATAACACAATTCTTATCTTATTTTTTGTTTGCTGATTATAATAACGATTACATGAATCGCTGACTTTTATATAACTCTCAAAATTAAAGCCAATTTATTAATAGCTTTAGAAACCCAAAAGTAATCCTAATTTTCATGATATTTCACTCAACAGTCGAGTCAAAGTATCCTAAATGAAGATTTTAGTCCATCGGTGACCGCAAAGTGCGAGCGAGGGGTTATGTATATATTCGTAGTCACGTTACAGCCTTTCCACGGCATCGTTCACACCCGTGGCCACCGACGACAACCCTGTCTCACGTACGGCACGGGAAGCTTCAACACCACATTGAAAGTCAGTCTCTTAGCCGATGAGAGCGAGGAGTTGTACTGCGGTTACAATAAATTCAATGTAAGTTCAGTCACACGTCTCATTCACACCAGTATAATAAGCATACGAAATTATAATAATCATATAATTTAGTACCAAATGTGAGATATTTCTAAAAACATTAAAATATTCTGAATTAAAAACTATCTCAGATGTAATGTCTGATTGTTTGCGTAAAATTTCTAACCCTTTGTATTCATAATATAATCTTTTACTGAACTCTAGGGCGACAGATCTGTATCAGTGGCCGTCAGACCTCATAAATCACTTGAATTATCTGATGATAAATACTATTTCATGACATGTGAACAGTTGGGATATAAGAGCGTTCGGTATGTCTTATCATTGCAATTGTTTTCCGATTAAAGCCAAATACCTGGCCACTAAGACTTCTTTTATATAGGAAGTCAATGCTAGTCTAGATATGGGAGACATAGTATTTGCTAAACATTTTCTACTTTCATTCACTACAGCGGCGGCACATATAGTGTATCACTAAAGTTATCTGACTTAAGTGGACAACGAGTCTCGCGTGCAGTTCACGGGAACTCCTATGTACTGAGGGCACAACTCACACCATATGACAGTAAGAATCCAATCACAAATAGTAACCATAAAAAATAAAAATCACAACAACTTTTTATGAATTAGTAATAACAACACTGAGGATGAAAAACTGCTTTTCCTTCGGGACGGACACCGAGCACGTGAAGCTGTTGGACGAGTACGGGTGCCCCACAGCCGCCCAACTTATGTCTGAATTCATTTACAACACCTCACACACAGCCGAAGCCATAGTCTACGAGATGTTTAAGTTTCCCGATTCTCACAAACTCTACATCCAATGCGATGCCATACTATGCCGGGGCGGGTGTCGGGAGCCCGTATGCGACTCACCCAACAGTAAGGGCCAAGATTTGGCCACCGATTCCTATTCATTGATATCTTCATCCACAACAGTATATGTGTTCGAGCCGTCCGATGATAACCGTAAGACTTGAGACAAATACAAACTTTGATTAAACATTAAAATATTTGTCAACATTTTATAAATATAGTGCTTTCG